AGAGAAGGGTTGTCTGTCTGTCTGCAGGACCACACGCGTGATGATGCCTGGCTTTTTAGAAATGGGCAGCTTACCCTCGTTGACCCTCTAGATCTCACTCAACATACTCCACATCACAGTACCCTGAACCCCTCCTTCCCTGGGCCTCTCCCATCGCCCCACAGGGTACCGGGCAGTAGAGGAAAGTGAGGGTCTGTGCCTTGTAGTTGCACAATAACCCGTCTTTGTGTCTTGTCTTTACTACTCACTAACTCAGAAAGCTTGGGAAGATTGCTTTGTTTTTCCACATTTGACCTCTCATCTGAAAAGGGTGATACAGAGAACATTCAGAGAACTATAAGTAGTTTCTTAAGCCCTCAAATTTAAATAAGATGATGGCTAGAAGAGACCTAATGAAATGCTACCCCTAAACCCATAATTAATTCATGGTACAAATTCTGATTGTGTACATCGGCCCTCAGCCTTCTGCCCAGCCTGCCCGCAAACACTGGCCAGAAAATGCATGCAAACATAAAAAAATTCATTCTTGAAGCCTAAAGTAAGAGCACGTAACAGAAGAAGAGAAAGAATTACAGCAAGCCAGCAAAAATAATATGAAATTTTGGGATCGATTCAAAGCAGAGCAAATCAGCCTGCGTTCTTCCCTCGTTTCTAGCAGCATTGGCTGGCACACGATGCAGTGACGGCTGGGAGGGCATCGCTAAGAAAGACCCAGAAAGGAGAGAAGACAGTGAGTGTCCTGTACTGGGAAAGGACGCAAAAGGAATAGCTGACACTGGGGGGGCAAGCCATCTAAATCTCCCTTATTGAGCCTTACACGGAATGCTCGCTAAGGAGGTACCACTCAATATGTCGGTTAAGAGCTCTGCCCTGGAATCAGTTTCTTATCCCAGTCCTCACTGACTGACTCTTCAAGGAATTCAACTCCCTGATCATCAATTTCCTCTCCTGCAGGATGGGAATAACATTAGTGACGACATATGGTTGCTAAGGTCGCAATGAGAAGTTCGTAAAGCTCTCAGGATAATGCCTGATGGACAGCAAAAGCGAGGCCATCTTGGTGTTCCTCAGGCACCCATTCCCTCCCTCAGCACAGACTGACTGAAAGCTCAACACTGCTGCTAGGCACCGTCCTGGATAACTATGCCTTTACTCGGAGAAGGAATCTATTACAATTGGGCTACTCAGTGAACAATTCCATTTCATTTTTAAATGGACCTCTTTTAGAGTTCTATATCGATCACCTTTACCATTTACACAGTGACTGCTGAGCAAACAAAATGGATAACACTACTTGACCACTGATTAAACTCAAAGGAAATAACAGCCTCCCCTGGACAGCAGGAGCAGGAACCATGTATAAGTTTGTTCGTTGCTCACACTGATTCTTTGACATAGACACTGTAACCTCCTTTTATGTCTTTAAAAAACAACAGGAGCGGGGCTGGCGAGATGGCTCAGTGGTCTAAAGCACCTACTTGGAACAAGCTTGGCAAAGCACAGGGACCGTGGTTCGATCCCCCAGCACCACATGCCAGCCAGCCCCGCCCCCTGGTGGGCTGAGCTGGCCACACACACACACATACACTAAATAAATAAATAAACGTTTAAAAAAAAAACAACAGGAGCACATAGAAACAATTTCCACAAGGTCCCCATGGCTTCTAGATGCTCCCCATGGCTTCTAGATGCACTCTAAGGGACAGCTCAGCGTTACGGCCTACACTCTAAATGGCTCCATGTTGCTGCCAGTGGGATTAATGCTTGCTAGAAAATACTAAAGTGGGCACACAGAGCTCTTAGGAGACTAACGCTCCTTCCTTCTCCCCGCCAGAGGCGCTTCTCGTCTCTCCATCCAGATGCTGCCCTTATCACTGTATCCTTCCCAGGATATCTGCATACAGCAGTAATATGTGTTGCATATTCATACATACATTTTAGTAATTTAATTTTCTAATGATGAAAAAAGTCTCAACTCTGACCTATTTCAGAACTGCAAAGAAAAAAGCTGAATCTGAGATGAATACATATTTCTCAAATGAAGAAATAAAAAAAGACAAATAGGGGGCCGGGGAGATGGCTCAGTGGAATAAGCGCTTCCCTGGCAAGTGCAAGGGCCTGAGTTCAATGCCCGGTTCCACCCAAATAAAAAAAAGACAAATACATGAAAAAATGTTCAACATCACTGGTTGAGAGATGCAAATTACAACAATGCTGAGACTCTCACTCCAGAGAGAATGGCTATCATCAAGAAATCAACCAATAACAAATGCTGGAGGGACTGTGGGGAAAAAGGAACGCTTCTCCACTGTTGGTTGGGAGTACAGATTGTTATAACCACTGTGGACATCAATGTGGGCAATTCCCTCAAAAACGAGGATTTGAGGTCCCATTTGACCCAGCTATTCCCCTTCTGAGTATCTTCCCAGAAGAATTAAAAACATTATAGTACAGTGATATATGTTCACCCATGCTTATAATAGCGTAATTTGTAATAGCTAAATCTTGAAAACAACCCAAATGCCCATCAACCAAGGAATGGATAAAAAAGATGTTTTTAAAATACAATGGAGTGCTACACAGCCATAAAGAAGGATAAACTTGAGACATTTCTAGGTAAATGGATGCACCTCTAGACCATACTTTTAAGTGAAATGAATCAGACACACATGGGTAAATATTGCACTGTCTCCCTGGTGTAAGAAACTGAAAAAGGGGGCTGGTGAGATGGCTCAGTGGTCTAAAGCACCTACTTAGAACAAGCATAGCAAAGCACAGGGACCGCGGTTAATCCCCCAGCACCACATGCCAGCCAGCCCCGCCCCCTGGTGGGCTGAGCTGGCCACACACACACACACACACACACACACATAAATAAATAAATAAATAAATAAAAGAAATGAATAAAACAGAGATTACTAAAAAAGAAAAAAGAAACTGAAAAAGTAAATAAAGTCCAAAATGTACAATAGATATGGTGAAAAAGGAAGAAATTCTTCAAAACAAGAAAAACTAGGGAGAAGAAGGGGGAAAAGGAAGAAAGAAAAGATAAAAACTATAAAAGAAGGATAAAGTAGAAACAAGGCTTTGTAAATAAGGAAGTGAAAAGGGGCTGAGCATCGGGACAAGACTGAAAATGAAGAGGAGTCAACACATATCATTTATAGACTCACATTTCCTATGATTATTATGATCATCATGTATATCTAAGTTGCACCAATAAACTCAATAAATTTTTTAAAAAAGATGAGAGAAAAAAATTTCACTATCAGTCAAAAATTTAAAAATCCTGCATTAGGTTCAGCTTAGCCCTCAGTCCACCCACGGGGGGACATTACTGCCTAGGGTACCCCTTCTTGCTCATGCCCTTCACCAAAACCCAAGTCAAATGTCTTTTCCTATATAAAGCCTGGTTTTGCCACCTGAAAAAAAAAAAAAAATCCTGCATTATTCCCCTCTCACTGGTAGGAGACTCCTTTTGGTATGACTTGAAAAATCATCTGAATTGTCTGAATCTCAGCACTTCCAGTGAGAATTATTATGAAAGTAAAAGATTTTATAAAGATCAACTAATACTTGTCAGCTGTCTTGGAGTAGTGGCAAACCCTTCTACCAAGCCCAGAGTTATGCAGTCACTATAATATAACAGAGAAAACAAAGTACTCTAGGAGGCTCCTTAGAAAGTCATTACCTCCTCGACATGTGTAACCCTAAATGGGAGCATTCCCTTAGCCAGACACTGAAACGTCTTACCCGCACATGCTTAGTAGTATCCGTGGCAGGATACTAATGAAGTCAGGACCCCAGTATTTTGAGTAAGAGCCTTTGCAGCCATGAAGAAATCACTCATTATGCTCAAGTTCAGGGCTGGGAAGAACTCGAGCTTAGCCCTAGCTACTCATGGTAAGTAGCAGCCAAAGCCAAGTTCTCCTGAGTTCTCACATGACTTATTCAGCAGAATGGTTAAGGTCCAGCAAACGAGAGAACATCTACCTCTCTAGCACACAAAAATGGGGAAACAAAATATTGCCGAAAAGTAGGGCCAGTAAGATGCCTCAGCGAACTAAGTGCCTGCTTAGGCAAGCACAGGGACCGGGGTTTGATCCCCAGAACCACATGTCACACTGGCCTGGTGCCCCGCCAGCCACCAAGACCAGGCGTGGTGGTGCAGGCCTGTTTTCCCTGTTCTGGAGAGCCTGGAAACAGGAGGATCACTAGAGTCTGAGCTTCATAGTGAGACCCTGTACCAAATATAGAAGAAGAAA